AAAACACATGAAACCCTCTTGTAAACTTTAAAATCATTATGCTTGTATCCCAGGGCTCCCTGGTTTCTAGAGCTAGCAGACACACTACCCCAGGGCTACTCAACTTTGAAGCCGTGGGGGCCATAATGATACTCACAGCACATGCCAAGGGCCGCAACTTCAGTGTGGTTGCATAGACATGCAAATATATATGCAAATCTATGCAAATAGCTTCTTGCACACGGACGGGCATGAATACAAAGATGAAGGCCAGGGCTCCCTGGTTTCTAGAGCTAGCAGACACACTACCCCAGGGCTACTCAACTTTGAAGCCGTGGGGGCCATAATGATACTCACAGCACATGCCAAGGGCCGCAACTTCAGTGTGGTTGCATAGACATGCAAATATATATGCAAATCTATGCAAATAGCTTCTTGCACACGGACGGGCATGAATACAAAGATGAAGGCAAGACGACACAACACGCAGGCCCCATTTAAGTCAGTTCTGCTGATATTAATAAAATGCAACAGTTACCTGATTTCCACCCACAGGTAGCACTTTTAACGAGCAATGACAGTGCAGGGATTTAACTACTACAGCGCATCTCAACAGAAGACCATCACATTGACTGCTTTCTGGTTTGGGCTCCCAACCAGACTCCTCAGGCTGCAAACAAATGGATTGCAGGCCACACGTGCCGCATGTTGAGTAGCCCTGCACTACCCTGTCCCCAGTGGAGGCAGCTCCCACCAGAGACGAGGAAATGTCAATTACGGGATGGGGCGGGGCGGTGGGCGGGGCAGGGGAAGAGAAGGATTATGGATTATACCCAGTCTCCCTTCTCCTTTCCCCCACTCCCAGGGTGCACTGCTTTCAACAGGCTGCCCTGAGCAGGGATCCAGTATCCAGCACGCACTAGGGATGTGGTAGTGCAGTCTATTAACTGATTAACCAATGAGCAAAAGCATATTGGTTAATGCTGTAGACTACATACATCTCCCCCACCCTCAGCCAGTACATTTTTTAGCAGCCCAGCTCAGTCCCAGCTTGCGCCGGGTCTGGGACCTACCCCTGCTGCGGCTCTGCATTTAAAGTGTATTAGGAGCCAGGTGGGCAGGCAGCCCGGCTCAGTCCCGGCTCGTGCTGGGTCCAGGAGCTCAGACCC